TAAATAAAAATATTTTTAAAACTCTTATTAAAGTTGGGAATCTTTGGAATAGAATTAACAACTGGAATTTAAATTTACATACTTACATATGTACATACAATTGGAAATCATATTAAAATTATAATATGAACAAGCTCAGATGCTTAACATTTTCTTAATGTTTTGAGATTCCTATATGAAAAACTATTAAATTGCTGCTGATCTTGCTCTAAATTTTATAACTTTAAACGAAATTAATCATTTAATCAACAGCTGTTTTTGAAAGATGTTTCAATTAATGAAAAAATGGACGAACAGAGTCTGTGCACATTATGCTCATACATATTTAAAAATGTTCTTCTACAAAATGCGACATACTACGCAACGCATTTTTCTGCTTAAAATTAAAAAAATTTGTTTTTTTTTGCATTGAGAACTGCAACTAATCGTTAGTGAACAGTAACAGCTGCAAAAATTTATCGTTTGTTTTAAAGTATAGTAAAAAGTTTCGCAGATATTTACCTATGTATGTTATTTTTTGAAAATGCAATTCTAGTACTAAATTGAAGTTGTCATTATTCTATTTAGTATTTGTCTAACATATCAATATTAAAAGAAATTAATTTTAGGGAAAATACATACATATATCTTGTTGAAGGAAGTAAAAACAAAGCGCAGTCGCAGATATACTTACTATAATCTATAAATTTTGCGTGAAATTTCCAAAATATCTTAGGTACTTGCAGTTTTAATTTTTTAAAGAAATTTGCTACATTTTTCACAAGCACTACTCTACAGTTTATAAGTAAATAGTTCTTATAAAACGTACTAATTTAAAACCACGTTTTCAAAAGAACCTTATCTGTATAACAAATGAATTCAAAAAGGGAACATACGTGTATTCCTAATATATGTACAGGCACTGTTTCCAAAGGCACTATTATTTATTTCACATAAGTTCTATAACTGTATTTTGTTGTGCATTTGCTTTACGTAATTAGGATAAGGGCTAAGCCAAAAATTTACATATAAATAGGTAGGTTCCTATATATATGCACATATATGTACGTAATCTATATGTATGTATGTACATACAACATTCGCGTTGTGCATACTTTTGTAAATTAACGCTCATAAAAATTCTTAAATGCCCCTGCAATATTTTCAAAATAATAAAATCAATTTCAAAAATACGATAAAAGAAAAGGAAAGTAAAAATCTAATATTCATCTCTTCATTCATACAACAACAACAAAAAAAGTAAAAAGATTCCTTTTTATTTTATTTCTTTTTTTTTCGAATAATTATCAACTACCCCTTTTCGCACATTTAAAAAATGCCAATTTAAATAAAAACAAATATTTGCAAGAATTTATAAGGGTAAACAATCGAGTCAATGCGCAGATAAAAAATTTACTCATAAAAATTAAAAGAAAATACCATATAAAACAAAACAAGAAGAAACAAAAAAATAATAATAATAAAAACTAAACATTAATAACCCAAGATACTCCACACACACTTTTTTGTTTTATTATTATTAAAAAAGAAAATTAAATAACTGGCAACGGCGCATTCATAGAAAAATCTATTAAATTGCTTACAAAATACGATTCAGCATCGGCATGATCACTAAACTTAAACTCTACATTATATAAAAAGAATTATTGTACATATGTATGTATGTACATAGGTAGAAACATTTTATATAGATTGTCTGTAGTAGCATTCAACTACAGGCTGTGCTGTTAAAATCGAATAGTTAAAAAAAACAATAAAAAAAGAAAAAGAAAAGAAAATGAACAAAATATGAGCGTATTATAAATAGTTGTGAACAAACATTCATTTATACTAAAATGAAAAATACTAATATGCACATAAACACATGTTGTTTTTAACCCATAATAATATTCACAAAATTTTATTATACATACATATATATTTACATATAATTATCTTAATCTACATAAGTTTCATACATATATTATGTATATAAATATATTATTATAAATTATATATATATATAATACATAAATATGCATATGTAATAAAAATAATATATCAATATGTAAATGTATATAATACATTAATATACATATTTACATATGGATATACAAAATGAGTTTTGGTCTAAAAATTCCAATCAAATATTTTTATATTTTACTCTCTTTGTGATTTTTTATTTATTTTTTTTTTTTTTTTTTGTTCAATAATAGGGTGTTTCCAACGTTTTATTTTTTGCAAGCAAAATTCATGAAATTTATTTAAAACTATATTTTATTTTATTATATTTTATGTTTCTAAAATAATTACATTATTTAAATTTTTATTTTGAAAAGGCTAGGCATACCAATCTTCCGATTATACCAATCTTTGTTGAATATTGTATACCAATCTTCAAGGACGAAGTATACCAATCTTCCAATCAAATTATTTTTTTATTTTATAAAACAGTAAAACAATATTGAAAATTTAAATAAAAAAATTTCGATTAGAACTTGAAATTTGAATTAGTAGGAAACTTTTATAGGGATTCGTTTAAGTTTTATACAAATGTACTACATATTTATAAAATTTAATCGTACAAATGTTAATTTATTGAATTTTGCTTTTTAAAAAATTATATGTAACTTTAATTCTTTACTAAGTGCAAATAAAATTTTCTGTAGTATTTTAGATTCAAATTAAGAATAGTAAATAAGGAATTTTAAAATGAGAATAGTATTTTTACTATTTTCATTTTGAAACTCAAAAAGGACGACTTTTTAAATTGTTACTTTAACTATTCTCATATTAAAATTTACTATTCTTACATTGAATTTACTCATTTTTAAATTAAAATGGTATAACTAGATGTTATAAAATAATGAATGGAGAGTTTTAATATATATATTAAAAAAAAAACACTGAATTTATCCTTTTATTTTTCTCTTCGCACTAAAAATCAAAAAGAAGGAACCAATTTCAATTATATTTTTAAATGTAGATTATTTTAATGTAGATACAAATGAATTTTTATAAAAAATTTGTTTCATTAAACAATTAATAAATCTATAGAAAATTATTTAAGTATAGTTTATGTAATAACCGCATAAATAATGATTGTGTTACACCCTGTAAAATTTTATACCATTTCAATAGATTAAATTGACAATCGATTTTAATATTTTTGATATTTTAAAGAAAGGCTTTATTTTACTTACAAAATAAAAAGTTTGAATTTAGATTTTATCCTTCTTATGTTAACATTATAGAACAAAAGCAAAATAAATAATATTTTTTGAATTCACTTTATTTTAATTAAAAAAATTTTTTTTTACTATTTCAATAAAATTTTTCATTTCAACTTCTTGACGTAACAAGAAAAATATGCAAGAATTTTCAAACTAATGAGATTCATATCAGATTTTTATATTAATTCTTTAAAAAAAATTCTTTTCTTCAATTATATTAAAATTTTTTCACTAAATTTTCTTAGTAATTATTTTACATCAAATTAAATTATTTAACCAAAAATACACGCATAAAATAAATTTTTTTATTTATAAAGTTGTCAAAAAACTTGACTTTTGTAATCCGTCAAAATCAAGTGAAATTTTCATTAAAATTTTCAAGTAAATCTAAGCATTATTTGCCTTAAAATTTATTTTCAATTTATTTAATAGAGTATAAATTATTAAACTTTATTATTTAAAACCGCAATATTTTTTTCGCGACAAGTATAATTTAAATAAAATTTGCTCTTTATTTTTCACTTCGACAACTTAAGTTAAATATGACAAAAATGGCTTTTTACAGCAGCGATCGAAGCGCTACCGATTGTTATTGAATAATCAAAAATGACATATAATTTTTGACAAATACTTGTACACAAAAAACTCTGCAAGAAATCAGTTTATAGTTTCAATAGATGAAGTACGTTTTCACAATATGTTATATTAAATTTTCAACAGCCTTGATCGTGTATCGCGCTTTTTTATTCACATTTTATTCACTTTCAAATAAAGATTTTCAGTATTTTCTAATGGATGTTTCACCTTTCAAATAAGGTTACTAATTTTTTCAATTGAATTTGGGAATTTTTTTTAAATTATCGGCTGAACCTCTCACTTTCAAAAACAAAGTGAATAAATTTTGGGTGCTTCTCATTATACAAGTTTATGATATTTACTCCGAATAAAATAGCGAGATAAAAGATCAAGCCCCAAATATTATTGAAATATACAATAAACTAAAAAATACATTTTTTCTACTCCCATTCATTTAAATATAAAATAATTTTACATTATTCACATCTATATCCAGAAACTGCACATGCATTGCTAAAAAAAATAAATTGATAGTTTTGATAGATTTTACCATTTTTACTACGAAATTATTAAAATCAATGAAAATGAACTCTGCCATTGAAAATAATTATAAAATTTTTAAATTTTGTACATAGAAAATTTATAAAAATTATAAAATTTCTTTCAATCATTTTTTACCTTTTTCTTTGTAAACAAAGCAATTTTTAAAGCTTGGATATAATGCGGAAAGCGGTAATTTTCAGCCGCCAAATTTTTTTTCGGTGATGAAAGTCCACTGTCCATAATCAATCACAACATTTAAACAATTATTTAAAATCTAATTAATTCCGATCAATTTGATACCGATTAAAAGTAGTTTAAAAATATTTTCAAAAATATTTGTTGGACATATAATTTATTTCGAGTTTGCAGAAATCAAAATTATATTTTCGTTTAATTATTTAGAAAAAATCAATCATTTTCGAATTTAAAGGGAGAGCAAACAAACCTATAGCAAACAGACGTTTAAATTTAAGGAAGTACATATTTTTTTCTTCCATCATTTCTAAATTAATTTGGTTCAAACAATTTTGTATTCCATAGTTAATATTTTGTTGAAAGTTGTTATGTTCACTATTGTAAATAACATTAACAATAGCACTTATTATAACCTTTGTTTACAGTATGCAATACAATTGTGAATAAGCATGAAAATTTATCTGTTACGTTAGTGTCAAAAAAGAGTAGCAAAAACATAATGGTATAATATATAATATCTCAAATTATATTTTCTTAAATTTAAAGTGCCTGAGAACTATAACAATGGGTAAAGTCATGTCGATTATATACCGAAAAGCTAATCGCTTTAATGTCGAGAATAGAGCTCATCGTTTTCTCGATAAAGAGAAGTTACCCCCGGCACCAAAGTTTGAATCTAGTTATGAGGATATGAAAAGAACTTTAACTGGTAAAATACTCCAATATAATAATGAAATCATGAATAACAATTTACAATAAGTTTTAATTTGTATTTTAAAGATGATCCAGAATTTGTAGAACGAGCTAGCAAAAGGGATGTCTTATTAGATAATCGACTAAAACAAGTTTTTGTTACATCTGAAATTCACAAAGTAAAATTTTCAAATGTGATATATAAAAGAAAATATATATGAACATTTCATATCTCTTAGCTTACACAAATAGAAGAAGATGAGAAAAAACCTTTGCCCCTTAATCGATCCGCTGTAGAAGATTTTGAGTTTGGGTTCAAAGAACCAGTAAAAGTAACTATTGGACGTTGTACACTTAGGCAAGCTATGAAATTTTTAGTGGATCATGAATCTGATCCAACAGTTTTTACAGCAGCAAAAATTGCTGAAGATTACAAAATAAAACATGATACAGTAGGTAAGTACCTCATTAAACGTTAAAATAGCTTTTAATAATATGTTTATTAAAATTTATAAAGTGAAACTAATTTTTTTATTATTTCAGAAAAAATATTAAAACATTTCAGAATTTTCCAAATTCATATACCCGATAAAAAGCTACAAGAAAAAATTTTAGAACAAAAAAGTTATAAAGCAATTGAGAGTAAAAAAGATGAATAATTTATCTAAAAAATTTGTTTCTAATTTAGAATAAAAATATTGTTAATAGAAACCACATATTTCAAAAAAAAAACTTTGCTATTTTATTTTTAACCAAATGTAAAAAAATTTATTTTTAAATGCAATTTATGTATCCTTATATACGTTAGAAGGGCAATTGTATAAATTTAAAGATTTGTCTTCAGCTACAGAAATTACTTTATCGTTATTAAAGCTATATTTGACACCCCAAACTTGATCATTATGGTCGTGAAATGTGTGTATGCACTTTCTTTCTGCGAAATTCCATATTTTTACAGTTTTATCACTCGATGAAGAAGCAAACCGTTTTCCATCTGAAGAAAATGAAACACATAAAACCCAGGAAGCATGACCAGATAGTGTAGCAGCTATATCAGAATGAGCTCTAAAATAAATTTTGGCATAATTTAATAATTTAATTAATTTTTTTCACATACACATCATATAGTTTCATATGTCCATCATCAGAAGCAGTTAAAAGAAGTTGAGAATCTGGAGAAAAGCACAAACTTCTCACAGGCATAGCATGACCTTCAAGCGTTTGCGCCACTTTCCCGGTTGATACATCGAAAATATATATAATTCCGTCGATTGCACCCGTCGCGATATATTTTCCGTCAGGACTCTAAAATTATATTCATCATAAAACTACATGTACTTAGTATTTAATTTGCTTTTAAATACATATGCTATACTAAGAGTGAATTTTCCATTTTGCGGATCTAAAACCTGTTCAGCCTTCCCACTCTCAACATCATACATGGTGATTTTGCCTTCGTGACTGCCTGAAATAACATACTTGTCACATGGAGAAAAGTCTAATGTCCACAAATCTACTGGTCCAAGTGATATTTGCTTTTTCAATATTCCAGATTCTGAATCCCAAAAACACAGGCCTGAATCTAAAGAGCTACTTGCAATTGCTACAAATTATTGTACAATTATTTTTTATAAGAAAGCAGAAACAGAATTTTTACTTTTGCCGTCATTGCTTACGACAACTGAAACAACTCCTAAAGAATGACCCGTGAGTTGATGCTTTAAAGAAATCGTTCCGTCATCTATATCCCATACTTTTACTAAATCATCCATTCCACCGGTGACTATAAAATCTTTTTGTTCCGCATTTGTTTGAGAAACATGTGAATCTCTACTGGCATCAGGATCATCGTCATCATTTGTTTTGTTTGATATTGTAACTCTACCCCAACTGCAAGACCAAATTCCTTCTTCATGGGCATTTTCTTGTTTATGCACAAGTGAAAACTATAATGATAAAATATTAATTTTCATTGATAATTTCATGTTTTGATATAATAAAATTTTAATTTAGAAGGTTGTAAATATTCAAAATTTACCATTTTGGTAAAGGAAATCTGCAATAAGCCGGTGGTTTAAAATAAATTGAAGTTTAATTTTAATAATAGAATATGTTTTGACTTTTTGTAAAAAATAACCTCTTTCTAACTAAAAGGTTCATTCACTTGACAGTTCCCATCACTTGTATGTGATTGCAAACTCGATATTTATTTTCTGTTAGTTTTCATTTCAATGATCTATCGAAATTTGTTGTAATTTCGATGGATATTACGATAGAACATAAATTCATTTATTGAATGGGGTTGTCATTCATTTTGTTAAAAAATTACAAATCTGTAACCAAATGATAATAAAAACAATGCTTCTTAAGCGAAATTTGTTTTTATTTTTTTTAATGGGAAACATTTTAATTAATTTTAATTAAAATTGTTTAACAGTTCAATCATCCACTTTTTTAAGTTAAAAAAAAATTAACTTTTGACTAAAGTCTTAACTCAAAATAAACACTTTATTTTATAATTTTACTTTGTATCTATTATTTAATAGCTGTTGTTTCAAACAAAAGTATTCTTAAAAAACCCGGGTTTCTTACTTTCTTTTGTAGATACATAGTTATTTTACACTTTGTTAGGTTGTGTTATATTTATTTATGAAATGATTTTAATGTCAGATATCAAATATCAATTCCTCGGAACCTAAGAAAAATCCAAAATTTTTCTTGTATTCAGTTGTAAGTAAATTATCTTTCGGACATTGAGATTAAATGCACTTTTAATCCCAAAAAACAAAAATGTGTTTTTCACCTATAGGAAGCGTTTTTCTTTTGCTACTAATTCAAAAATTTTAATCAATGCACAAATAAAAGTATGTACTTATTAAATAACCGACAACACTATTTTAGTAACATTGTATGAATTGTAATGTCAAATATGACATTTATTTGAAGCTCTGTCGGAACGCTTCTTTTATAATTTATTTGCAATTTCTTTTCAGAGGAAAAAAAAATCAGAACGGTAGCGAACGATGACGAAATTGTACGTTTTGTCGGCGGGCGTCAAAAAACTTTTATATTAGTTTGTATTATTATTTCTTTTTTTTTTGTAACAATAGAAAAGAATTTTCACAATTAAAGCACAAAATTAAAAAAAAGTCTCAAAATAAATTCACGATCGAAAACGAATTATAAAAAAAAATATATACATATATAAAAATAAATATTTTGCACGGAAAATAGTGTATTTTATTTTTGTTATTTTATTTGAAATAAAATAATTGTGATGAATTGAAATGATGAAAGTTTGTGTTACATCTTGCTTCGCTTGATTTGCATTTCTTTGTAAATTTCAATTTTTTTTTTCTTTTAAATAAAATGGGATAAGTGACAAAATATTTTTTTATTAATTTGAGAAAAATATTTTTTTTAAAACTAAAATTAATAGGAAAAAACCTATTGTATGCTTAACAGTGCTTTGAAAAATAATTATTTTTAAATTGAAAGTGTTTTTAAAAGAGGAAAAAAAAAATAAAAGTCTAGAAGGAAAAAAAAAGAGTTAATAATCAATAAAGTAAAAAAAAAAAAACGAATGTGTTTTTTGTTGTTGTTGCTTGTATAAGTATATAATAATATGTAAGTATGTAATAACAAGAAAAATTTATAATCAAATTTTGGGATGATTCATAAATAATATTTTTGATTTTAAGTGTATTGAAATTTCAAAAAAATATATTATTGAAAAATAAAAAGAAAAAAACTAATTAATTTTTAGTGTTCAATAAATAAAGTGAATGAATAAAATAATATATTTACAATATTATTGGGATTAATATTATAAAATTACTAAGAAGTAGAAATTTAGGTCCTACCATTATAAAATTCTGAACATTAGAATTTTGTTCAGTTTATTAGAAACTGAAAGCGATATAGGTACTAAGTGAATAACACAAAAATTGGTAGGTAAAATTTAATTTCTTTTTGATTTTTCTTTCCTTTTTTTTTAGCTGAAAACTAGGTGCTTTAAAATCTAAAAATAAATTCAATTTTCAATGGATTAAATGAAATTTTTATTATATATATATTTTTAATTTTTTAATATATGCCCATAATTACTTCTGCTTAGTGTCAATCTTGTTTTATTTAAACGTTTTTGTATATACAAAACATTATGTACAAATTAGAAGAACAAAATAATAAGATAAAATTTATAAGTGGCAGTTTGTTATTACTTTTTTATTAACATTTTATCGAAAAGTATAAAAAATCCGGGCCATGACATTCATTTAAGATTTTCATGTTGATGTCAATTATAAAATTTGCAATAATTACTTACTTAATTATTTTTTCTTTATATTTTGCGAAGATTTTAATACCTAATACGTAAGTGCCTACCTAAAGTGGTACATGTATAGGGAGGGTTTTTAATACTACACAGATTTTTAAGCCCTGTTAAATAAATAAAAGTTTTGGCAACAACAATATTAAAAATACATTATACTTATACCTTTCTACCAAGTATTAACAGAATATATGAAAAAGTATAACAGCTATGATTAAATATCCTGTTCTACTTTTACTAAAATTTCAGTGTCTAACAGTAAACTTCCTGAAAAATCTAAAAGATGTAATTTTAATAGTGCTTAAGACGACTTAAGTGAGTTTAAAGTATTAGAATGCAGAATCATCTAAAACATGCTTATTTTCACTAAAATAAAGTACCTATCTACCTTCATGCCTATGCAAAATATTGAAGTAGTTAGTAAGTACCTTCGTGTCGTACTTCTGTCGATTTCTTTCAGTTAGTTAACTAATTTTAATATATCTGTAGATATCTGCATAATTAAGAATATTTTAGATGTAAATCACATTATTTGCAAACATAACCTATAAGTACAAAAAAAAAATAAAAAATTTTAAAAGGACGATGAACTTAATATATCCACTTAATATAGCGTAAAAAAAAAGTTAAAAGGGAAGGAAATATACCTACATACATAAAAGGTATATAGAGAATTTTCATCTATAAAAATAATGTCCACTTAAATACAAAAAAATATTCTGTAATACGAAATTTTTACTATTTTTAAGAGAAAAAATTTAACACTTGGGTTAAGTATATTTTTTTTTTTATAAAAAAAATCACTTGGTGTGTAGGTAGGTATACCTACCTACCTATCAAAATCTATTGCAAAAAAAGAAATACGTATGTGAATTTTTGGTAATTTGCCAATACCGCATACTTGATCGAGATAATAAGGTATGACGATAAAATTGATTAAATTGTTTTCTTTTAATAATTAAGAATAAGGTAATAACAGCTATTTATACGAAGTTATGGTATACACACAACCTATATATGTATAAGTAATAGAACGGTTACAATCAATGGATTCCGAATTGCTTCCGTCTCCAAAATCAATGACTAATAAGGATAATTTAGGTGAGTGATAAGAATAAAACAAGGACTGTAACGATTTTTTTTTGAAAATTTTATGTTATTTAATTTATTAAGATTGAATTATGTCATTTTATTTTTTTTAGTGGAAAATACAAGCAACTGTACGTGAACACGGCCCTATAAAATTATTAGAATCAGAGCATTGTCTAATATAATTTTGAATTCCGGTGAACTTTTATGTTGCATCTCCTTGCTCATGTTATATTATTTTTGTAATTGGATATTTTCATACAAGCAAAACTCCTGTAGTAATATCTGGCTTAATGTAGATTTTTAAGAAATAAAAAACCAAGAAAAATGTACAAAACTCGATCTATATTAGGGAATGAGTCTAAAATCACAATTTAAAAGTGAGACCATGATGTTATTAAAATCAAATTGTTTTAAGTTTATATATGAGTTTTTTCTTTTAGGTTATGCTACTTAATCATTCATTTCACTATTATTTAAAGTCCTGCAATTTATTTATATGTTGGTAGGTACCTAAACCTACTTATCAAAAATTATAATTCCTCTAATAATTCTTCTTCTTTTTTCTTTACAATTTTTCCTTTTTTTTTGCTTCATATAATCAGTATATCTTTTCTCGTATAAATCACAATTTAAGGCATAATAGGTCACGACCTGATTTTGAGCTACAAAAGGAACTAAAAATATGTAAAAAAAAATAATAACATGCTTGTATACGTACGTGTATGGATATATGTATATATATATATGGGTGGTGTGATTTTACGAGATATATTTTTTTAAATAGGTCTTCATTTTGTTTCAATACACAATACGCACAACAGTATGATTTAGGATTTATAAAAATGGATTTAAAAGAAAATGTATATAAATATAAAGAAGCTTTTCTTTTCCTTATTTTCACTACAATGATTTCATTTAAAAATATCGACAAAGGAAAATTATATTCGAAATGTTGACTTCTGTTTTTCTGTGAAATTTAGTGAAATTAAATTAGCTTTTGCTTAATTCAGAGAATTAAAGAGAAAAATTATTAACCCATTTTTTCGTCTTGTACATTAGCACATATTTTAAGGTTGCATTTCTTCCAAGACAAATTAATAAAAAAAATTGCGAATGCAAGAAGAAAGCAAAATATGCTTATCGTAGCTTGAAAGTTTGTATCAATATTGGTGCCATACGAAAAAAAGATGTATGAAAAGTTTTGTTTTAATTTTATTTTGACAGTTACTGTATGTTCAACAATATGGCTGTAAATATGACATTCGTTTCTTTAATTCTGTTAGATTTATTTTAAGGATTGTTTAAATACAAAATTGAAAAAAATTCACTTAGACCATTTGAATGTTCCCGTATCTATTTTTAAAGTTTACATTCTTTAGGACCGAAAACTGGATTTCTGATTTTTAAATTAGGAAAATTTTAATTTTTTGCAACTTAAACAGAAAAAATTATTAAAAAAATGTAAACCTTTCTAAATTTTTTAAAAAGCACAAATTTAACTAAACTACTTACTAAAACGCTTAATTCGAAAACCATGTTAATGCTTCGTTTACTATTTTAATGCATGATCCAACCCTTAAAGTATGCAATGAAAATTCAATATTTACAATATGACAATAATATAAGTAATTGAATTGTTAATGTAAAATGTGCAAAAACAGTTCTTTTAGTTTTCTCTTGTTACAAGGAAAAGTGCTGTTTTATAAATCATTGAAATTTGATTCGAATTTATTTCTTTTTATAAAATCAATTGATTTTTCGTTTACTTCTTTCCAATTTTCTTATTTCGAACATTTATTCATTCAACGAAAATATTTAAATTATTTTATTTAAATTACAATAATAAGAAAAAAAAATTAGTCAATAAACTATTGTTAAATATAAAATATTTGATTACTTGAATTAAAATATAAAAACATATGTATATATGTACATACTTACTTAAAGTATATAAACAAACTCATTTATTTACTTATTTAAAATAATGTCACTATTTAAATTTTTTTTTTCTGTTTTGTTGAATATACTGAACAGACAGCATTATCTTGAACTTTTTGATTCATTTATTCACAATATAATAGTTGATATACAATATTATATACATAAATATATTTTATATCTATTTAATAACAATAATTATTATTATTATGTCAACGATGACAATGATAATCAATTTCATGTACATAACCGCAAACATATTTGTTATAATTATATATAGAAATTTACATAACTGTGTATTATCATTTATATATATATATATATATATATATATATATGCATACGTATATATTTTAGTGCTTGTAACTATTTAAGTTTTCTTAAAATGAAATAAATATACTTATTCATAATGATAATAAAATGAAAAGAAAAATATTAAATAAGAAAATTTTCATTAAAAGAAAGCCAAAAAGAAAATTTTTTATTCTCGAACAGGGTTACCAATTTGAAAGAATTTCATTAAAATTAGATATGTTTTTATTCTGATTAGAAGTTTGAGAAAAATCTTTTATGATTTGGTTTATTTTTTAAAACTGAAAATGTTTTGAAGAGGCAAGCACTTACTATTTTGACCAAATAGAAAATAATTAAAAAAATCTGATGCAGCCAGCAGATGTGTATTTCCTAGTTTAGCGAGAGTGTTGCAGAAAATTATGAAAATGCCTTCCTAAAGGATTCTTTTTAATTTTAAGGACGATAAGTAGTAAGCATTTTTTAGAAACGAAATTTAGCTCTTAGAAGAGTTTCGTTTTTTGCCGTCCGAATTACTTGAAAAGTTATAAGAAATTTTCAAAAATTTCGTCAATTATTTTCATAATTATGGTAAAATATATAAAATCCGGCTAGAAAATTGACTGATTATTTCTCTTCATCATTCAGTCTTCTATAAGTACATCTTTACAAAAATCTAAATTTGGGCCGTAGTAAAAGTGTTAAAGTTTGGTTGTTTTGTTTCAAGTTAATCTATTGAATAATTTTTTGAATATTATCGAAAATGTAAATTCGCCTGGTAAAAAGATCCAGTTCCATAAATACTAAGATTTGAACTTCTCAATTATGAAATTTACAACCTTTTTTTTAGTGGCAACCCTGATACTGAATTCTTTTAGTTTTACTTATGAGGTTTCATGTTATAAATATATAGTTACTTTTACTATACATTCTTATAAATGTATTATACGTTTACATAAATATATATATTTATATACAAATATACATACACAAGTATATTATTACCGTTCTTAGAGGGCTTTTTATAAATTGAAAAAGATAAATTGAATGAAATGAACTAAAAGAAAAATATAAAAAAAAAAAATGAAAAAGAAAACTATCTTATTTGATAACGTAAAGAAGGAAACGAATTGAAATGATAAATTTGATATTTTAAATGAATTTAAACTTTATTTATGTAGATAGAGTAATAAAATGGATTAATAATAATATATTCTTATAAGTAATATAATTTATCCTCAAATTTAAGTATATTTATGAGTATATATGTATGTATGTATTTAAATGAAAATTTGA